GCCAATTTGGTGTATGTGAAATTGTATCTAATCCTTGATTTAATGACAGTTTCCTTGAACATTAATAAAGTTTGATATTTTAAATTAATATTTTTCTCACCTGTAAAGTACTTACTTTTGTCTTTTGTCTTATCTTGTGTTCAGTGATTTGTATTTTTCTTACTGAGGTAAAAATTACTCTGGAGATTATTACCTTGTTGAAAAATTTTCCCTGTTTGTGTTTGTATTTTTAAATTTATAAAAGAATGACATATACATGGAAAATGTATAAAATATATAATAAAGACTAATATTGTATTGCAACCAAATACTCTCTAACCACTTGAAATCTCGTGATGAGGCACTTTGTCCCTGTGAGGAAATGTAGCACATTCAAATGGCTTATACTGTATACTACTGTGCTTCAGATTGCATTGTTGTACTGCAGAGACCTACTTGAAAGCTGATCACCTTTCTGTGTTATGCAATACAATGGCTGGAAATGCATCTCCACGTTTGAAATGTACAGTTGTTAGATCCTTAAAAGGCCTATTTCCTGTTATGCATCTTTCTTAGTGGTGAGAGTTACAAGAGTTTATAATGTGTCCTTTAATTTGGAGAGGGTGTCCAGCGTGTTACAGATATCTGGGTCTACCATAATTCCAGAGATGACATAAGACTCTGATTTATTTTAGGGTTTATCTGTCATACTTTTGAAATCATTTACTATACCCAGGCCTCCAACATATATACCAACTCTTCTTCATATAGTCCAATTAGTAATGACATTAATATACTGAACCAATGCTCTATTATCTAGGATATATAGAGGACTCTTTCTTTTATACTAATCACAGAAGGTGAATAAATTCACTTAAATTTATACCCTCTTCCATCCCAGTGAATTAGAACTTCTTCTAAGGTACCTATTTGGTAAGAATAAAATGAAACAAAACACATTTAACAGATTGGTTACTACAAACCATTGCTTGAGACAATGTTAATTTGCTATAGCAAAATATCACATCTAGGATAGCAGGTGCATTTGGGGAATTTGAGCTTACAGTAGTCCACTGTCATATAGAAGCAGTCCAGCTTCTTTAGGGGTTGCAGTACTGAATTAAATGTGTACTATTATCCCAGTATCCTTTTAGCCTTTATATGTAGCACTAATCATTTTCATTTTTCCATACCAGATGTACTATTCCATTTGACTGATTACCTTGGTTGGTGTGGAGATGAAAAGAAGGTGCTTAACATATTTCAAACTACAGGTGGCATAAGTGACCAAGGAACTCAGCTGCTACATCATGAACGGATAATCATATTTGTGCCAAGGTTACACTTCCCAGACTACTACCTGTCAAAATACTTAGTATTGTGGAATACTAAGGCAGGCCTGTTTGGGATACACATAAGATCGCTTTGTAGGCCAGTTTTGACTTCAGGATGTCTGAATATTGCTAATATTGCTGAAACTTGCTAAGGCTGCATGGTTGTGATGATAAAATAGAATTTTTGAAAGACTGATAAAACATCTACTCCTATTAATTAATTCATGTTAAGCCTTCAAACAATTTTGTATTTTTATAGTAGGTATAGCTATCTATAACATAAACTTGAGTTAAATGTATACTGCTAGGATTGAGTGTAAATTTATTTGTAATATAGCTATTGCTTAATTTCTTCTCCTTCTGCATCTACTATCTTTTAGTCTTCATAAATTTATGTTTTTGTTCATCATAAATTTTGGTCAGTGATTGAATTGTTTTATATATATTTATATATTTATTTTGTCTTTTAAAACAAATTTTTGTCTTTATTTATCCTCCTTATTCATTCTTCTGTTACATTTCATTAGGTTTTTTTAAGCTTTATTTATTTATTTTAAAGAAAGAGTTTCAGAGAGAGAGAGAGAGAGAGATCCTGCTTTGTTGGTTCACTCCTCAAATTTCCACAACAGCTGGGGCTCGGCTAGGCCAAAGCCAGGAGCCTAGAACTCCATCTGAAGCTCCTGCATGACTGGCAGAAGCACAAGCGCTCAGGCCATCTTCTGGTGCTTTAGCAGGGAGCTGGATAGGGAGTGGAATAGCTGGACTCAAACAGGTGCTCATTCAGTATGTTGACATCTCTGGTGGTGGCTTAGTCTGCTTGCACAACAATGCCAGCATCACATCTCATTAGTTTCTGATATTTAAGTTTAACTTCCTACTGATTTTTATGGATTTATTCTGTTTCCTTTTCCTAATTGCAACAATTGAATACTTAACTCAGTTGTTTTAGCCTTTTTTACTTATATGAGTATTTAAGACTATATTCCAACATCAGCTCACTAATTCCAACATTAGCTGTAGCTCATCTTTTAATATCTAGTATTGCATCATTCACTTTTAATTTCAGTTTCCATTACTCCTTTGACATATTAGTTTATTATGTCAAGTCTATTAATATTTCTAAATGGAGAGATTACACAAACATTTTTAAAAGGTTTGTAGATCACAATTTATTCAATTTCAACATTAAGGTTCTAAATTTAAGATTTCTCTGACTAGTGCAAAACTATTCAAAGATTTTAAATTCCAACCAGAATCCATGATTTATATTCTTTAGTATTACATAATTCTTATTTCTCTTTGTCTACTTTATTTTTCAGTCAATATTTAACCTTGATCCTCATTTAGAACATATTCTAATATTAATTATTTCCTTTTACATCATATATATTTATTCTGAGGTTATTTAAACATGCCTTAATAGCATAAAATTTTCTCTAGTGATGGTCTATTGTAAGAAAACGACATTCAGTTATCAGAAATAGCAGTTGTTTATGTAACACCTTTCTTTTTTATGATTTATCTATTTATTTGAAAGGCAGAGACACAGAAATAGAAGGAGAGAGAGAGAGAGATCGAGAGAGAGAGAGAGAGAGAGAGAGAGCTCTTCTGTCTGCTGGCTCACTCCCCAAATGGCCACAATGGCAGGGGCTGGGCCAGGCCGAAGCTAGGAGCCAGGAGCCTACTCTGGGTCTCCCACGTGAGCACGGGGGCCCAAGCAATCCCCCACTGCCCTCCCAGGTGCCTCAGCAGGGAGCTGGATCAGAAGTGGAACAGCCAGGAACGAAAAGGAAACCACAAGGGATGCCACTGCTGCAAACAGCTGCTTAACCTTCTATGCCTATAACATCCTTCTTGGAATGCTTTGATGGTAATGTTTTCCTAGATCCCTCTGAAGGTATCATTTTTTTAATATTTCATTTTGTTTTGTTTTTAAGGCATATTTATTTATTTAAAGGCAGAATGATAGAGAAAGAAAGGAAGGGAGGGGTTGAGAAAGAGAGAGGGAGAGAGATCAATATTTCATATGCTGTTTCATTCCCCAAATGAGTAAGACAGCCAGGACTGGGCCGGGCTGAAGCCAGGAGCCAGGAACTCCATCTGGGTCTCCCAGCTGGGTGGCAGGGACCCAAGGACTTGAGCTACCTGCAGCAGCTTTCCCAGGTGCATTTGTGGAGAGCTGGACTGAAAGCAGAGCAGCCTGGTTGTGGCTTAACCCACTGTGCCACAATGCTATCCTCTGAAGGTATCATTTCACCATCTTCTTGTTACACTGTGGTTTTCATAAGTTATCTGCACACAGAGATGTGTTGCTCAATCAACTCTCTCAAATAAATGTAAAAATAAAAAGACTTGATTTATAGGGATTGATAATTTTTATGATTGTATTTAAGCTAACAATGTGACATTCCTGAACATGATGTTGGGTAGATATGTTCATTTTGTTCAACAACTTGAATAAAAACTGTGTTGTTTATTCTTCTGTACTCCTCCCACAAATGCTTATAATTATATATAATTATATATTCATTTGCACATGTACATAAAAGTGAGCATAGATATATAATTACATGAGAAAGTATATTATTTCTTTACTGAAATATGTGTTGCAAAAATTTTCCTGCATTTTCCACTTTTCTGTCAATAGTTCAGGATAATAACATTAAATAATAAAAAATATTTCCTGATGCATAATTTATTCAAGTATTAATTATCATTAACTGTTGTTTTAAAGATTTATTTTTATTTATTTGGAAGAGAGAGTTACAGAGAGAGGCAGAGACAGAGAGAGAGGTCTTCCCTCCGCTGGTTCACTCCCCAGATGGCTGCAATGGCTAGAGCTGCACCAATCTGAAGCCAGAAGTCAGGAGTTTCTTCCCAGTCTCCCACGTGGGTGCAGGGGTCCAAGGACTTGGGCCATCTTCTACTGCTTTCCCAGGTCATAGCAGAGAGCTGGATCAGAAGAAGAGCAGCCAGGACTAGAACCAGCACCCATATGGGATGCCGGCACTTCAGGCCAGGGCTTTAACCTGCTGCACCACAGCGCCGGCCCCTAATTACCATTAACTGTTTTCAGTATTTTACCCCTAACAAAGTGACGCCACAATCATCACTGAAAATAAAATAAAACAAAAAAAATACTGAAAAAACTACCATAATCACTCAACAATTATTGAAGCATTGATTCTTAATGCTGCAACTGGAATCAGAATCTGAGTTTAGAGAACCTTAAACAAATGATGATTTTTATGCAAAACCACCCCCACCATCTTTTTAGCTATCTGATCTCATAACAGCAGAGTCAGAATTCTATTGGACTAACTAAAAGTCAACCCAGTGAGATGGTTTGTAAGACTATGAATAAGATAGTATTTCTGCCTCTTAATTCTCTTCCCCTTTCTATACTTTCACTGGTGGTTCTATCTCTTGGACATGAGGTCTATTAAAAACATCTAACATAAATTTATAATAAAGATTCCATGGACATTACTGAATCATGCTTTTAGCTTTGAGGCTCACGAACCTTTTACTGCAAATACTGAAGAGTGACCACACCCTCAAAGCAGAATAGAAGGCTTTCTGAGGAGGTGCACATGAAAAGAAACATTGCCTTAAACCACTTAAATATGTATGACATAAGTTAGAAATTACTCTGGTACTACAAAAAACAAATCAAAATCTGAAATGGCAAGACAGTTTAATTGAACATTTTGCTGAATTCGTAGGTGTGATGTATCCCCGCCCCCACACACACAAGTACTTCTGTAATCTGGTATTTCAACCTGTTCCATGGGTTCAGTGCTCATTAAAAGCATTTTCTCTGAACCACAGATCGCCCAAACTCCTTGAATTCTGCAGCAGTGACCCACATCTGCTTGAATGTGCTCAGAGACGTCATAACAGATGCACCGATCCATGCAGAGAAACATCTATCAGGAGAAGCTGTGATCTTGATGGGGTTCCCTTCAAAAGCTAGTGGTTCCAGTTCCTTCATAAGTCTTTCCTCCAGTCCCTGGAAGAGAGTGGTGCCACCACACAGCACAATATCTGCAAACAGGTTCTTCTGGATGTCGGTGTCACACTTCATGATGCTGATGGAAACCATTTCTGAGAGTCCCGGGCTGTTGATGCCCAGCTGATCCGGTGAAAAAAGAACCTCTGGCACCTTGGTCATACTGTCCTCAATGGAGATGACATGACCATCTGGAAGTATGTATTCTCTCGGAGGTGTGTATTCCTCCACCGTCTTGCATAGCTCTTTATTTGATCCCAAGGTGATGTAACACATACTCTCCTTGATCTCATCCACCACGGCTTTGTTGAATATACAAGGGAAGATGCACTTGCTTGCAAGGAGGAGTCGGGTGAGATGGTTGGTGATGTCTCTTCCTGCCACACAGAGCTTGGTGACTGCATGAGGCAGAGCATAACCCTCAAAGATGGGAACAGTGCAAGTAAGTCCTTCACCACTGTCTATCACAAGGCCGGTGACACAGGCATAGGCATAGAGAGCTATTGCTGCATGGTTGGCCAGGTAAAAGGCTGGGACATCGAATTTCTCAAACATGGTTTCTGCAATTCGTTCTCGAGTTTCTCTTGGGTTCAAGGAGGGCTCAGTCATGATTACAGGCTGCTCATTTGGTTTTACTCTCAGCTCTACTTCAAAAAGATGGTTCCAAAGTTTCTCCATATCATCCCACCCTGTAACCTGCCCACGTTCTATGGGGCAGTGTAAATATAGGGAACCATATTTGTCTAGAGCTTCATCACCCACAAAGTACTTGATTCGATTGCTTCTTGCAGAAGGTAAGTTAAATTTAGGATGTCCTACGACTGAGCTGACAACATGACGGGGTCCAATATCTCCAGATAATCCCACTTTACAGAGGCCTGAACCATTGTCAAAAACTACAGCAGGGACATCTAACAAATGTGGATTAAACATGTCTTTTACCTGGTCTTCTAGACTTCACCAAAATGAAGAAAGATCAGTTGGACCTCTTCAAGAGACAACAGTTACCTCTGATGGGATTCCAAAGTGCTCTGGTTGTCGCCCAGATGGAGCAGACAGGCTCTTGCCAATCCACCAGAACACCCTGTCATTAACCTATGAATCTTGTCTACTTTCTCGTGGCTCAAGGCCTGTGGAGGTAAATTCAAGGCTGGCTGCCCAGTATGTAACAATCTCACCATAGCAACAGTTTCCCTGGATAAACATCAGTGGGGGAGGGGCTGGGTCTCAATTACTAGGGCTCCCTAATTTGTGAAATATTTAGTAGAGTAAGGCAAACCATATCTATAGACATCTTTAATAAATACATGAACTCCATACAGATGCCAACATTTAGAATAAAGTGAAGCCATGAACTTGTCCCAGAGAAATTCCTTCTGTGTTGGGCTGAGCTGCTCTATGTGGAATGTCAAAATTACCCTTCCTTTTACTAACAGAAGGAACTAAGCCCCCATCACAGAATCAAGTTGGAGAGGAAACGCCTGTAATCCTCCTGATCAGTGTTTTTTTTTTTAATTTTCCCTTACATTTGCTTTCTTGTTTCCAATAGCTTTATATGAGATAAATTATATGTATCTTATGATTCATCCATTAAAATGTATAATTCCATGTTCTTATATCTCTATTCTCTAATATCTTTATATAGCTCTATATCTATATATATATATATATATCTAATATTCTCTAATATCTGAAAATGGTAGAATAGTTTAGAATATTTTTCTACCTCAAAAAGAAACTCAGTACCCTTCATCTATCACTCTCCTCTTTAAACCATACACATGAGCTCCCACAGAAAATATTTGCCTCTATATATCTATCTTTTCTGCCACTTTTCATATAAATGACATCATATAACATGTGGTTCATTGTGTGTGACAACATTCACTCTAAATATTCCTTCAAAGTGCAACTATTTGGATGTAACACATTTTATGCCATCAGTCAATTGATTGGATTGTTTGCATTTACATTCCCATTGTTGGATGGTTCCTGTTTCACATTATCCTCAACACTATTGTTTCACACTCCAAGATGTTGTGTAGGGTAAAACTTTTTGGATATGACCCCAAAGCACAGGCAACAAAAACAAAACTAAACAAAAGGGACTATGTCAAACTCAGAAGCTTTTGCATAGCAATGGAATTGACAGAATGAAGAGACATTCAATAGAATGGGAGAACATACTTGAAAACCACCTACCCAGGAAAAGATTAATATACTAATATATCAGCAACATTAAAAACTAAACAATAATAAAACAACCAATCCAGTTGTGAAATGGACGAAGTATTTCAATAATTCTCAAAAGAAGAAATATAAACGGCCAACAAACATATGAAAAAATGTTCAATATCACTAGCCATCAGAGAAAAGCAAATCAAAACCACAATGAGATAACACCTCACTCCTGTCAGAATGGTTAAACTCTAAAACACAAAGTAGCAAATTCTGGCAAGGATATGAAGAAAATTGAACATTTATAAACTATTGGTGGGAATATAAATTAGTATGGCCGCCATGGGAAACCATGTGGAGATTTCTTAAAAAGGTAGAAATAGAATTGCTATATGATCCAGAAATCCAACTACTGGGTACATACCCAAAAGACTTGAACACAACAAATCAAAGAGGTACCTCTGCCACCATGTTTGTAGAAGCACTGTTCTATAGAAGTACCAGGATGTAGCACCCACAGGCAGCTGGCTCTGGGAATGTTTCTACTCTCTCCATGGATAGGACAGGCTATCAGGGTTGAATAGACCCTTTGTAACACGTGACTGTGGGGGCCATGTGTACCAAGGCTGTGGGAACTCTGTTATTGCACAAAAAATTGCAGGGTGTAAATGGGTCTCTAGGCGATCAATGTGTGCTGCACCAGAGGCTCAGAGTTCCTTGATTGCCTGGGGTGGGTCATGGCAGCAGGATCTATGCAAACACATAGGATTGCAGAGATTCTTTGCACAGTTCAAGTGGTGGCATGGGTGAGAGTTGCACCCACTGTGGGCTAACCCTGAGAACTGATCACGTTGGAAGAGAGGCAAGGGTGTGATTATGCCAACAAAGGTGATCATACCCTCTCCCCTGCTGATAATAGAGGAGATATGCCACATCCAACTTGGGTGTCACTCTGGATACTCACTCCACCCTGGAGCAGTGACCACAGCTCCCTGGCTACACTCAATACACGCCTCAGGTTATTCACTGAAAGAGCAGACACTCCACTAAGCTACAGAATCACAGTTCAAAGATAAAAGCCCTCAGAGGAGAAAACTAAGTATTTCCAAAAATGCCTAAAAATAAATACAAGAATTCAAGAAACAAGAATAAGGAACACAACGTAACTCTTCTAAAGGAACACAAAACACTTCAATATCAGAATGTGAAGAGGAAGAGATTGATAAAATGCCTGAAAAGGAATCAAAAGAAAAATCATAGGATTCCTCAGAAGCAATGAGAAGCAAATTTATGAGTTAAAGAAATCCATACATGATGTGGAGGAAAAACTTCCCCATGAAATTGATTTTGAAGAGAAATCAAACTGAAATATTAGAAATGAAGAATCGAATAGATTAAATAAGGAATGTGGTGGAAAGCCTTAACAACAATCTTGGAGAGGCATCAGAAAAATATCCAAGCTAGAATACCAATCTTTGGAAATATCTCAGTAAGATCAGAAAAAAGGAAGAAGAAATTAGAAAAATTAAAAACAGTGTTGCACATTTATGAGATACTATCAAATGGCCTAACAGATGGGTCTTAACAGGTCGTGAAGTTGCAGAAATGAGAGAATGGATTAGAAGAATTATTCAGTGAATTACAGAAAACTTCACCAATCTGGGGGAAGAAAGGCATGCTCAAGTACATTAGGCACATCGAACTCCTAGTAGACATGACCAGCAAAGATCTTCACCACAACACATTGTAGTCAAACTTTCAACAGTAAAACATAAAGACTCTAAATATTGCATAAGGGGAATTCCAGATTAACTTCAGGAGGGTCCCCAGTTAGACTCACAACTAACTTATCAGAAACCCTACAGGCTAAGGAGACAATGGAGAAATGAAGTCCAAGTCCTAAAAGAAGAAAATAACTGCCAACTCAGAATACTGTACCCTGCAAAGCTCTCTTTTATGAATGTAGTTTAAATAAAGACCTTCCATAACAAACAGAAATTGAAAGAATTTGTCATCACTCATCCAGATTTACAAATGATGCTTAAGGATGTGCTACACAAATAAACTCAGAAAGATAGTCATCATCATGAAAAATGTGAAGGGAAACAAAATCAGCTGGAAGTACAAAATCCAAAGTAAACAAAATATTATTTATGGAAAATGGCAGGGGCAAGTCCTTACTTATCAATAATAACCTTGAATGTAAATGGCCTAAATTCTCCAACTAAATGATAGAGATTGAATGGATTAAAAAACCAAGACCCATCTATTTGCTGCCTAGTAGGAACACACCCGACCAAAAAAGATACACGTTGACTGAAAGTGAAAGGATGGAAAAAGATATTTCATGCTAACAGAAAGCAGAAATGAGCACATGTAGCCATCATACTATCCGTCAAAATAGAATTCAACAGAAAATTCTTAAAAGAAGGATCAATTCAAGAGGAAGATGTGACAATAATAAATGTATATGCACCCAATGCCAGGTTGCCCAGCTATTTGAATTGTTAATGGATTTAAAGGGAGACAGAATATCTAACACAATAGTAAATTGTAACTTCAACATCCCACTTTATCAATGGGCAAATCAACTAGAAGAAAATCAAAAAGAAACAACAAAGGTAATCTACACTATGGACCAAAAGTACTTAAGTGATATCTACAGAGCTTTTCACCCCAAAGTTGCAGAAATACACATTCTCATTAGTGCATGGAACTTTCTATAGGATAGACCATATGCTAGGCCATAAAACAAGTCTCAGTAAATTGAAAAAAAAAAAAAACTGAAATCACACCATGCATCTTTTCTGGCCACAGTATAATGAGGCTGGAAATCAACAACTCAAGAATCTCTAGATCATATGCAAGCACAATGAGACTGAACAACTTGTTCTTGAATGAACAGTGGGATTGAAGAAATCAAAATGCAAAAAAAAATTTCTATGAGTGAATAAAGATGACAATAAAATATATCAAAACTTTTGGGATACAACAAAAACAGTGTTAAGAGGCAAGGTTATAGCAATTGGTGCCTACATGAGAAAGGCATCAAAATTGAGGAGTGAATACATCTCAAGCACCCAGAAAAACAACAAACCAAACCAGAAGTTAGTAGGAGGAAAGAATTAATTAAAATTAGAGCAGAAATAAACAAAGCTTAAACAAAAAATACAAAGGATCAGTGAAAGGAACAGTTATTTTTTGAAAAAAAAAAACTAAAATAATAATATACCATGGGCACAACTAATAAAAAAAGAGGGAGAAGACACAAATTAATAAGACCAGTGATGCAAAAGGATATATAAAAGGGGATCCAAGATAGTGGAATATGGAGGGAGCTTACTGTTCTAGTCTAAGGAAAGATAGTTTAAAACAAGTGGAGTAAGTGCAGTCTTAGGAGTTAGGGAGAAAAATAGCAGAGGAAACTTCATGCAAACTAGAAGGACACTGTGGACTTACATGGAGGATGTGGATGTGCACAACTAAGGACCCCAGCAGCCAAGAGCCTCATCACCAGCTTTGAAGGTGAGACTAGACTGAAGCAGCCCAAGCCACTGGTGATAAAGCTGCAGGAAGAGCCTGGCGGGAGTCCAGCTTGGAGCCCTGTGGGGGACAGTGTACCTGACTAGAGGAGAAAATTAGGGGATATGTTTCTCTCTCCCCAAGCACCCTGCACCAGCATCCTGTAACAAGCTGAGAGAGGCTGGGCTGGGCATCATTTTGGACATACATAACAGCTGGGCCAGCTCATGTCCTCACACCCAACAACCAGCCAGCCAACGGGACATACCTGATTCTGGCTGGGAGAACTGACAGGGGCTGGGTGCTCATGACTGTGAGTAGTGTGTGTGCTGGGACTTGTAAAACACTGTAGCTGTGTGGGAGGGCACAGGGTGTGGTTGGGACTTTGGGCAGTCACTGTGGGCAGTTCTATACACTCAGAGATTCCCAATTCACAGTCATTGCTGTGAGATCTGTGCTCACACCAAGGACTACAAAGA